ATATATATTTATTTTTATCTTTTTGTGTTCTGTAATGAAATTCACTTAAACAGTCATGTAATTAGTTTAGTAGTAGTGTGTACATTTGTGGTGTATATGTGCGTACACACATATACAATACAACAGCGGTTTCCAACCTTTTTTGACTTGCTTCCCCTTGGCAGTCCATTTTTCTAAGTTTTATTTCCCATTTCCCATTTTCGCTATGTTTTATTTCGCGTGTTCGTCAAACAATGGCGCCTTGTACAATTATACAGCGCTGTACAATTACATGTAAAAGAAGTTTTTAAAAAAATTGAAAAACATTGAAGGAAGGACACAGAAAAATATAATGAAAATGTAATTATATTTTTATTTAAAACTAAGCATTAAATGCCGTGACGTCGCCAAAGGCCTCAACACAGAATCCGAATATTTTTATATTATAATCACCATTATTAATTTACCATAATTTGTAAATTCCTATTCTACAGCAATTAGTAAAGATTAATATGACGGTTTTTCACAGAGTTTTATTTCGATAACAACAGCTGAATAATAATAAAATAATAATAATAATAATTACTACAACCTACAACTAATCCTAACACCTCTTTTCATTATGTTAATTGTTCATTTCAGTTGACTTTGACTCTAAGAAATATTAATTTTTGTTGTGTATATAATTCGCTAATAATAACACAATTATTTTTTAATATACAAATGATTAATTATTGCTTATATTTAGATATATTAAACTTTTAAAGCAGTATTACTTATAAAATTAATATTATTTAAAAGACATACATCTTTACTATATCTTAACTATTTATTTTTTCGTAGAAAACGTCCGGTTTATGGAGGTTCGTATCTGGATAATCAATACAAATTAAGTAAAGATCAAACAAATGTATTGACTAGTTCCATATACATCAACTTTCCTAAGGCACACATACTACTTCAAATACCGATACCGGGTCAATATCGAAAATAATATCTTCCGGAATTTCTGTAGAAGAAGGGACAATCTCAGAAGCATCTGCTAGTACGAATGAAATTTCGAAGCGTTCAGAACTTTCAAAATTACAAGCGATAAGTTTTATAGATATTTCAACAGATAAAAGTACTGCAAAAGAAGATACTTCAGAAACTAGTGAGATTGCTAAAGAAATAAAAACAATTCTCAAAACTCCATTACATCCAAGAAAATCTCCAACAATAGATTCGACGTTAGATAAAGACGTTTCTACAGATATAACTTAACCAAACTCAGTAAGTTCGTAATTATTCTAAAGGAAATCAATTATTATATTGATACAAGCAATTAATTTGAGAGAATATGTTCCTCTACAAATCCACGTCTAATTTATTAAATATTTATCAAATTAATTGTCTTCTGATCGATATTATCCTGTTATAATTAGATATAAATAGATAAAATTAGATATGCCAAATAATCAGATATTGTAATAATAATAATATCTGATTTTATATATTTTATTGTTAAGCAATGTATTGTCAATATGAACAATACATTATATGGTAACTGAAATCTAATTACTTTTAACAAAATATATGGCTGGATTTAGTGGCAAAGATACTGATATAAAATGGGATCCGAGGTATTTATTATTTATTATATATAAATTTAAAATTTTGTATATACAGGGTGTAACGATATTTTAGAGATACAGTCGACCCCCCTATAACACTGTTGATTTTTCCGTTTTATATGAATTCCATGTTATACGAGTCACTTAGATTTTACAAATACGTGTTGCCGGGCTGTGAACGGCTCACGTCTAAGTGACTCGTACAACATGGAATTCATATAAAACGGAAAAATCAACAGTGTTATAGGGGGGTCGACTGTACGTTCTAGGGTCGAAAATAAGCTTAAATTCCTCTAAAAAAACGATTTGTTTTCAAAATCTGAACCTCAAAAAAACAATTATGTGTTAGTGTCCGCGGAGGACATTTTGAGTTTTTGTAAATTCTGTGAAAAAAAATGAAGTGCTATTGAAAGTTTCCAACTATTTTTCTGTCTTTTTTTTCCTATAAAGCGAATGGTTACTGTAAAATCCGTGGATAAGACTGTTTACGTCTATTACAGTAGGGTTTACTTAGAAAATATTTACTTACTTCAATCCGTCAACAGCAGCACAAAAAAAAGGGAGAAAATGCTTTTAAAACTTAAAAGCTTTAGTGTTAATATTTTGACAGGAAATTTGAAAAGTACTTTGATTTTTAAGTCGAAAACGAAGCGGATTTTGAAAACAGTTTATACAGGATTTTAAGCTTATTTTTGACTTTATAATCTATCTATAAAATATTGGCACGGAACTTCGTTATATACTGTAGGCCTATATGAAATTAGTAGCTTATTAAATTAGTTGATATTTTGATTAAAATTTTCTGTTTGAAATTTAATGGTTATTAAGCTTCTGTGTAGTCTTCTAATTTGAGGACTTATCATATCTGTTGGGAGTGTTTTCACTTGGACACCAAGCAATGGCGCGTTATAGTTTCATGGGCGCAGAGGCAAGTTTGAGTTATAAGCCCTATCTTCAGACATTTTCTTTGGGGGATTATTTTGGGAAAAATACTTTTTTTATATATAAAAGATCGAGTTGGAGTTCTATGTTGATGAAATCCCCCTGGCAATTGCCCTTTTGTCTACAGGATAACTAACACAAGAAACCTTTTTTGGCCGATCTACTTTATTAAGCATGAATTTCGGTTATATCCTTCAGTTTAAAGTAGATGGTTTTTGGGTTAGAAGTTATTTTACAAATTTACTGAAGACTATACACTAAATATACATTTTTATTGTTTATTTTTATTGCATTATCTTTCTATTGTTTTTATCTGAGACCATTTTAAAAGATACATTAGTTCTTTGGCGGTTTTTATTTTCTAAAAGGAAATTTTTAATTTAAAAAACTCTTTTTCCCATTCAGTTGACATTTCTTAATACAGTATTTCTAACATAATTTATCATAAATTTTAAAATTATTTTAATAAAACATTAAACATTACTTTACGAGACAAATTTTATTTTGTTTCGTTAATAGAAGGATTCCAGACCAAGGAGGTTCATATCTGGACGATGAAAAACATAGAGAAAGACGTGACCCTCTTAAAGATTCTACACAAATATCAGAATCCCCTTATACTCCAATAACGAGAAGATTGCATTTCGACTCATTTGCATCTGACGAACCTGGAAATAGGTAGAAATATTATTAATTTTAATAAAGTTACATTCACAATTTTTCCAAAAATTTATATATTTTATAATTATAGATCTCAACTTAAAACTCCTTTCTCTAATTTAACGCATTTTGAAAATCAATTCGTAAGAATTAAAGATCTGATACAGACTCAAAGAAAAAAAATGAAAGAAGAGATTGACGAAATCAGAAGTCTTATATCCAGTCATTTTTCTAGCGTTGGAAGAGGGACATCAAGAAAGGTTCAATCGCTTTCTGAAGAAAGTCAGAAGAAAGTAACATTTCCATCTTCAACTCTTACAAGTTTTCATTCTTCTTTTAAGGATTCTTCAAATAGAAAAGATGCAGAGACTTATATTTCATCAGATACAGAGAGAACTGGACAAATAATCACTCCTAAACAAATAACTAAAAGAATGAATTTGCCTTCTGGAGTTTCTGCGAGAAGTAGTTCAATGAAATACGAAAAATTCACTCCACCAGCTAACACTTCTGTAGATAAAACTATAACAACAGGTTCTGTATCTTCAGCAACAATACGTACTGGATCAACAATTCCAGATAGACTTCCATCACTCGAAACAAACAAGAAAAACGATTCTGTCGTAAATTCAATGGAAATTCCTACGAGTCCTAAAATTCAATTACATAATACTTCAGGTGAAAAATCTGCAAGAATGGATTCAAAACTATCTTCAATCTCTATAAGGACATCTCCAAAATCACCAGTGAAACACGAAACGAAAAATTCTGCTGATATTGATTTCAATGATAAAGTAAAAATGTCATCCACACTTCAGTGGGACGAAGCAATAGATAAATTAGTTACTAATTATTCCAGAGGAAATTTACTTCATATTGAAATCGACTTGAGTCAATATACCACTGAAGAAATAACTGTGGACATAGTAAACGAACATTTAATGGTACAGTACGTTATCATACATTCAAGATTTTAAGATTTCATTAGAAATAACTTAATTTTTATTACAGGTAAATGCAAAAGTAAGTAAAGAACTTGATGAAAGAACTATTATAAAGCAATTTCGGTATAGTTTACGTCTTCCAAAAGGAACAGAATCCAAACATATGTCACGTTATGTAACCTTAGGAGGTATTCTTATTATCAAAGGAGTTCTTCCAAATGCTTACGAAAATTAGAATACATTTTTATATTCAATTTAATATAATTAATTGTTGTAACGTTTCAATACCTTAATATTTTATTATTATTATTATTTTCGCCAAATCCTTAAGTTATTATACAGATGTTTTATAAAACATTAAATAAAATCATTTATTTTTATTGTAAATTTACCATATTTGAAGATGAGATACCAAAAATTATTATTTTAACAACTTCCTGTATTTATTTTATGCAGTAAAATTATATTTAAATGCTATTGTCTTTCAAAGTAATCTCAATTTTAACGTTTTAATATGAAAAAACAGTAGGTTATTTCTTCGTAGAAACAGTAAGTGTAGAAAATTAGTTTTTCTGTAATTCACGAGATGGCAGCAGATTTTCTATAGAAATATTTAAATATATTT